GGGAAAGAGGGACATGTCTTTGTGTTGGTACATAAAACTCAAAAATAGCCCATCTACATGTCTGAGTTGGGCGCCCTGGCATAAAAACACCACTGAAGCAAGTGCAGTACGTGCAGGGAGGAAGGCAGTATGTCCTCTAGGCCCTTATCCTCTGCTGCACGAGACAAGAGGTAACAGGCTTGAGCTGCAACTGCTGCAGCTCAGACTTTGGAAAACCCCTCGTAGCAGCAGGAAAAGCAACGCTCCGGGTAGCATTGCCTGGGAAGACAGGGGCACCTCCACCACTGGCGTTCTTCAGGAACAGGCTGGCATTCAGACTGTACCTGATACAGTTTGTCCTGATTTTGGGGCCAGGGAATTTCCTTGATGACTTTGTTAAGGTCCTTCTCAGTGATTAGGCAAGAACAGAGGAGACACAACTCTAAAAACATTTACATATCACCAGGTGATGTCATTTAACCTTACCTTTGTTTTGAAAGGGATTTTTGGAACTGCAATAAAAGACTTAATAGTACTGGGTACTTGATGCAGTGATATATAGTTCTAGTGATAATATGAGTATGGACTTCATTCAAGCATGTTAGATCTGCTTACCAACAAGCCTTATTACTCCACTTCTAAGGCCTTTTGTTGGCAGAGACAAATACGCAGGAATATCTCTGAAGCAACCAGAGCAATCTGAGCAAGAGCATCCATAACGTTCTTTGCTATTCTCCGTACCAAAAACTGATAGAAACCGATTCTCATTTCTTTCTCTGATGCATGTCACAGGAAAGTATCACACTGAGGAATTCTTAAGTGTCTTGCTGAAAACTGTATATTGTATATATTACAAATACTCTGTGTATTAGGCACGACACATTAAAGGAGGACAGCTTCATTTTTGACTGACGTGTTTTGAACTTACCAGCTCTCAGGATATGGAGGAGCAGTAACAGAAATCCATAGCTAAAATAAAAAAGCAAACAAGAGTGTTACATGATAGACTTTAGTGACTCTGTTGTTTACATAAGCAGTAAGTCTAATATTGATTGCTTCAGTATAGTAGCAGAAGTAGGTAAATTAGGTACTGCTACTCTGTAATGTCCCATTAAGTATTTGCATTTTTGACAGCTGCAAAACTTCTGGTCAAACGACATAACTCTGTGGGTGGGTGGCCAAGGCCACGAATAGCAATAAAAGGCACTAATATTGGAATCGGAGCAGAAGGCATGAAGCTGGTGGTGCGCCTGTCTTACTTGTCAAAAACGAGCCATATACACTTTCTGGAGAAGTCAGCCCTGGGGGATGTGTGGATCCCTGGGAAGGAAAGCGGCTGCACAGACCTAAATCCAGGCCAAAGGCCCCCACCCCACTGTTTTGCTGAAACTCCATGAGTTACAGTTTTATCTGGTTAAAGGACGGCAAAGCTGCTGACCATGCTGCCCACTGTTCTCTGCACTCAGTAAAAATGCATAAACAGGAAGTGTTCTGATAGCAGGGAGCTGTGCAAAGGTTTTGCTGGAAAGAATTTGGTGTGTTTGATTACTCCGGAGGGGCAAATCTATGCAGGAGTTTCCCAAGGGAGCTGCACCTGCTGGGTGCTATGGGAAAACCCTGTTTCACATAACTGTAAAGTCCAGGTGGTTTAACTCTCATCCCATGGAGCTTTAAGAAAGATAAGTGTGCAGGACTTTCCTAAGAGTTACTTTAAAATAGCCTTTCACCACCCTGGCTAGCTATAGATTGTGCTCTCCTTCCTTCACACTGCTGTGTGAAAGGAAAGGGAAACACTGGAGAGGTTTTTGGAATGGGAGCTGCGTGGCTGCAGTTGCCCACCTTGGTGTTGCCCCAGGTGCAATAGGGTTGCAAAGCTGAGCCGATGGGCAGGGGGACACGGGGCACATCCCCAGTTTCCCTTGCTCATTTCTGCAAGCAAGTAGGACTGTAAGGCCACACTATCTGTGGACAGGTGGTTCCCTTCCCCAGTTGCTCTCAACCCTCAGCCAGGTCCAACACTGAGCCGGGGGCTGGGGCAATGGGGAGAGCTGAAGCCAGCAGCCCATGTCAACCCAGGAGTGAGCCAACCTGGGCTGTTTGCCTTCTTCCCTCCAAACCAACCCTGCCCTGCCTGACCCTCCAAGCCCTAATCTAAGCCCGTTTCCCCAGCAGCCATTTCTCACCTCGCTCTTCCCCACCAGCCGTGCTTTACAACATCCCCTCTCTCTTTCAGGCCACCCACCCTTTCCCCACAGCTCCTGCCTCTTTGCCCAGCCAAGCATCAAGATTCATCCATCACGTCCCAAACACAGCATAATTTCTGCCCAGCTTTACTCCTACCAGCTGCCTGGGCACCACTTGGGTCTCCTCTGCTGTGGAGGAGGGTCTCTAATTCCCACCTGCCTCCAAGAAAATTATGATCTTCCCAAACATATTTAGCTTCTCATTGAGAAAGCAGAGGACATTCCTGACACAAAATCTTCCTCCTCTTGAAGCCCCATCTCCAGAGAATGAGATGGGGAAAGTTTAGGAAAGAGTCAGTCTGAACTGTATTACTTTTATATGAAGAAAACACTTTCTTTTCCTTTTTGGTGTCCTTTGAAATGGTTTCATAGATGAGGTTTCAAAAGCTGAAGTGGATGCCCAGTGTGGAACATTTTTGCTCTAATACTTATTTTAGTAAATCCACCCTAAAGTAAATACCCCAAGTAAGCTTAACTGAACAGTCCAGGGAGGCAGCTCTGCTCTGTTCTGTCTCTGGCAGTGACTTTTAGTGGCTTTTGCATGCGGGCTTGTCTTGCATTTCTGTTGTATTTGTATACGGTGCAGGAGCCATCACTTCTGTGTCAGGCTTGTAAAGGTCTGTCTAAACAAGCTCACCTTAATGTAGTTCTTAATCCCATGGCCGTGTTTGTTTTATTGTTCTCCGCCCAATTTAGAAACTAAGGATATAGTAAGTCATTTGAATTAAACAGAGAACAACAATTGACTGATCTTTATGGGACTCTTAAGGGAATTTCCCATAGCAGACGTTTGCTGATGTCAACAAACATTTAGCTAGTCAGCCAGAACTGATTCTCTAATATATGAATACAAAGCAGCTCTTGATTTCCTAATTTAATAAATGAAGTCACAGTCAAGGCTGGACAGATCTAGAGATGCTTATCCTCTTACTTGGAGGAGGTTGCAGCAACGGTAGTACAGGGGCAGTGTCAGCCCACCATGTTCCCCTGGAATAGCTTTAATGCCAAGCTCTCGTTGGAAAAAGGGAGAAACGCTCTTGCCTGCAGAGAAACTTCTCTTTAGCCCCATTTGTACACTCAGTTCCTGTGTCCATCACACTGGCAGTGAGCTCCACTACGTGCAGGTGTAGCAGCATTAGTTTCTTAGGTTTTCTCTGTTAGGTATTTTTATAAAAATATTTTTTGTCTTTTTTTCAATTCTTTCCCACACCTTTCCCTTCTACACATTTTTTAAAATGTCATATGAAACAGGAGAAAGTTGCACTTCTTTCATACATTCTTGTTTAGTGAGACTATTCTCCTTACCAGCACAACTTTTTCATACACTCCTTATTTTAGAGTCATGGGATGTTGCTGTTCCAGCATGGACTAGCCAGACAAAAAGTGTCCCAATACTTCCAATAATAACTTTATGGGTTTTGTTCCACTCGGAAGATTTGCTTTATCCCCTAACCTTGTGGTGACATCACTCTTCTCGCATCAGCGGGTGCCTTAAAGAGGTTATTCCTGAAGCTTTCCTAACGCCTACTGTAGGGCAACACCAACCTGGGCAATAAAGAAAAAAAGGGGGGGGGCTTCTTGCCTTCTCCCATCACTCATATTCGGTAAAAAGGCTCCTTAAAACCCCAGTTAATTGCCTGTCGCCTTCGATAACCAGGTACAGGCAGCTGGGGCTCCTGAGCGGGCTGACCCGCTATGCCGGGTGCCCGCCC